TCTATATGTAATTCCTCCTCAATTATACATGAAATAGGATCTAAAATCTAAATTGGAGGGTACTATTTAAGTCTGTGAACTTATTACAGATTTTGTTTTAATAATTTGAACCATTTATTTTATCAAATATTTTGTATATTTTGCTCATAAAAAAGTTAAAAGTGATGTCACCACTCACCACCCCCAGAAGAACAAGCCAGCAAAATCCAAAGAAAACACTACAAGAAAAGGTGCCTATAATGGTGCTTGAATCAAGACGTTTGATAAAACGCTATGATATATCTTACGCATTTTTCAAGGCATGGTGCTTGTTAATGGTATCAATGACCCAACTCTGTTTAACTTAACAGAACCCTTAACCCATTCCAATTACCAAAATAACACAATCTCTCATGAACTGCTCCTCTCTCTCACGATTAATATCGATCTCTATCTATCACTATAGCTGTTCTTCGTCAAACTCTCTCTCTCTCACACATACACAAATCGCAGATCCGAAATTGAACAAGAAAGTCGATCTAATCTGATCGAAATCTGAACTCGATCTGATCTGATCTCTCTTGCATTTCGTTAGATCTGTTCTTGCTCTAGCTTTTCTTCATCAAACTCGAACTCAATCTCTCTCGCAAATTGCAGATCCGAAATCAAACAAGAAAGTCTATCTAATCTGATCAAAATCTGAACTTGATCTGATCTGATCTCTCTCGCATTTTGTTAGATCTGTTGATTAACAAGGTTTCAATGAAGTCGTTTTTATTTTGTTTTTCATTAACAAGTGTTAATCGGTGTTTGATTTCTTTGTAGGTGGCGATGAAGTGTAGAGATTGGTTACATGAACTAGGAAAGGAAGAGATAAAGAAGAAGGATTCGAGTACGGAGGAATGGAAGATCGCGATAGAGAGAAGCTTTAATCGCATGGACAATGAGGTGATTGCATGGAATGACAGCGTTCTGCACGCTGATTGTCGGTGCGAGCTCCAAACGCCGGAGTGCAACACAGTTGGATCAACGGCGGTTGTTGCAGTCGTGACTCCTGATAAGATCATTGTCGCCAACTGCGGAGATTCCAGAGCTGTATTGTGCCACAACGATGAGGCCATCCTCTCTCAACCGATCACAAGGTTAGCTCTCGTTGATTGCCCATGAGTACAATTCAGGTTTTTAATATTTTGTTTTTGTAAACTTGAATGCAGAGTTCTGGAATTAGAGCCCCTTGGTGTCCTTGCTTCCCTTTTTTGTTGCGTTTTTCCTCTTTAATTATGTTTCGAGTATTGTTTAATTTAGGTCGAGAATAAATATAATTTATTTAGATTATGGTTTGTTGAATTCTGGAATTAGAGCTTTCAACCTAGTTTATTGAATTTATTTATAGGTGATTCTTCATGTAAAAAAAAATAAAAAATAAAAAATCTCTTTCACTTTATATAATTTATTACTGCATCTTTGGGTTTGTGCATATAAGTATATCAGATTATTGCCAATTCGTCACAATCCGTTTTGTGACAATCTCATTCAAGCTCTATATTGGATGATTAATTTATTCTATTATCTAGCTTTAATTTGTTAGGTTTATTGCGTTCTGTGGTGGAATAGGTATTTATGATTCCTTTTGTGCATGCTGCTGGTAACAACTATATTGTCCCTAATTAGAATTGTGGAGATTGTAGGTGAAAATGTGACTAATCTCCAACTAGGCTCAATGGCAATTGTTCATTCTTAGAGCAGTTCCTTCATGAGATCGACGCCTTTGGTCTTTGAGGTTTGTTTGATTTTTTTTTTATAGCGATTCTGGTACTTCCCTTTACTGTTCTGTTGCATTCCGGACTCGATTCCGTGGAGTTGGTAGTTGTGTCTATCTTGTTGTCGTCCTTTAATTCCATTTGTTTGAGTCTTAGGATAAGTTGGGCTTGGTTGTTACAGGTTGGTAGAGCTTTGGCTCCCATTGCTGCTGCCCAGTTTTTGAGTGGTCCACTCGAGCGGGTCATTTTACGCTCGAGCGGGGTTTACACCCTTCCAGCATTTCGAGTCCCTACAAAACTTCTGCAGGTGTGTTTTCTACGCTCGAGCGGGTTTGTTGCGCTCGAGCGTGTTGCACACGAGCGGGACTGTTGGCGCTTGAGCGGGTAGTACCTCGTTGGTGAAAGTTTTGGGAGATGAAAATCCACGCTCGAGCGGACTGGTTTTCGCGCTCGAGCGGATGTACTTTATTCTTGTGTCTTGGAGCTTGAGCGGGCCTTCTTGCGCTCGAGCGGACCTAGTTTTTTTTATTCTTGACGCTCGAGCGTTGTGTTTTCCGTTCGAGCGGGAATGTCGTATAACAGAAGGCAGCTGGGTATTTTTGAATCATTTTCTACACTTCCTCTCTCTCTCTTACTTTTCCAAAACACCATTTGAGAGCTTCTCTCTCTAGAAACTCCCTTCTCTCTAGGGTTTGATCTAGTTAGAGTGCTTCCTTCCCCTTTGGCCTTTGCAAAAGTTGTGTTGATCGTCGAGGGCTACATTTTGATCTGAGAAACTTGTGATTTGGAGCAACTTTGTTTTCGTCATCTTCTTCTTTGGGTGTCATCTTTTGAAGTAGGGATTCCTACTCACTCTTATGGTCTTTGACATAGATTTTTGATTGTTTTGATAAAGTGTTGAAGTTGGGAAATTTTGGGACTTAGGGTTTCAAAATGTTAGAAGAGGGTTTTGTTATTTTGATTCTAAAATGTGTATTGTGGGTTTCAAAATAATGATATCGTTGTTGGTTGTTGATATATAGACCATTGGGTTAATATAGGAAAATGGGGTGGAAAACCCTAATTGGTTGTATAAATTAATTGGTATGATTAATTTGGGAAAATTGTGGTAATATGGAATTGGGTTGGAAATAATGAAATTGGCTCATTATATAGTGGAATAGAGGAGTTTGATTTATTAATCGTTCACTTTTGAAAACATTGTTATTTTATCTGTTGGAGCTTTTATTATCTGTTTAGAGATAATTGCTTGGGCTACCGGTGGAGGGTAATTTTGATTGCTGTAGACAATGCATGTTGATTCGGCAAACTAAAACTAATCAATTGGATATGTCATAGAGTATGACGGTTGATAGAATACATTAATGTTATGTATTGATTGATTGTGTATATGACCTATGTGTATATACGTTGTGTGTGTGGGAGGAGATAGGGGATGTACTCCACGGTTTAGGGGAAGATAGGGGATGGACCTCTAAACCGGATGTTGTTTGGGAGGAGATAGGGGATGGACTCCACTGATACAGCTCATATACTTGTCAGTTAACGTGTTGATACAGCTTATATGCTTATCTATGGAAGTGTTGATACAGCTCATATGCTTATCTTTGGAAGTGTTGATATAGCTAATATGCATATCTGTTGAAATGTGGATACCGCTTGTATGCTTATCTGTTGAGATGTTGATATAACTAGTATGTTTGTCTATTGTAATATGAGAAACGTTTAATATGAGTCACTGTCTCATATAAGTGGTTGGCCAGGTTCTGAGCCGTTGATGCAAAATTGATAAGAAATAGAAAATGAAATGAAACATGAACACAGTGGCCATGAAATAGAAATGGGTTATGAATTGGTTTATGAAAATCGAACATTTATCAATTGCTAATGTCTTAGTCATTGCTCATACTGTGTTTAGCATATGTCTACTGGGCGTTGGCTCACCCTATATGGGACATTATTTTCAGGTACAAGTAGTATGCCACCTCCAAGGACATAGCTTGGATGATGATGAGAGTCGAAGACTCTTTTTGTTCATTTTGTTTGTATTACATGTATATCAAGCCAAGGGCTTATTTTGTATAGAGTTAGTACTCTTCTTTTGTGTAACCAGGTGTTGACTTGGAAAGCTGTAAGCCCATAGGGCATTTGCTTTTGTTATTAACATGTAATACTATTGTAAGAATTACTCTGATGAATAGAAATGGTTGGTTTCTTTTATATCAATGCATGTCTATAGTGATGGGTTTTATGTATTTTTTTGAGGGCGTTACAACTTGGTATCAGAGCTATCGGGTTCGAATACTTTGGGTATGTGGGAAGTGATTAGTACAACAATGGGTTTGTCTCGCTTAATAGAGACTTAGATGTAGTGTCATATGCTATGTGTTTAATTGATAACATGCTTATGTGACTATGGAATGTAGTTTCTAGGATGTTGATTGGATCCTTGGGTTTCTGGGAGTCTTGTTGGAAAGGCACTTGATCAATGCTGTTTCTAACCGGAACTCTAGTAACGCCTCGGGACTGTCATTATTCGGAAATGAAATTCGTAATTGCTTATGTGATTATGTGCTTATGTGGAGTGAATTACAGTTGTCCATGCATTAGGACGTGAGTGTTATAGCTTCGGCACATTTGTGAATGTGCTAATGGTCTTGGTTACCTTTATTCGGATGACAGGACGAGGGCGTAGTAGGCGTGGCAGGCGTGGTAGGCAGGAGATGCCTTTACCAGATGATATTCCGGCATAGCAGGAGGGAGTTGGTCAGGCCAATGTGGCTGAGCCAGCGGGTCAACAGGCTATGAGTGCCTTGGCCCGAGAGATAGCAGGAGCTTTGGGTATTCTCAGAGCAGGAAATCAGGCTGCTGAGGCTGGGCCTTCTTTCTTGAAGAGGGAATTCTTCCGGTCTAATCCGGACGAGTTTGTTGGAGATCCGAAGGAACCACTGAAGGCTGACGAGTGGTTAGAACAAATGAGTAAGACGTTCGAGATGCTTGGCATCGAGGACAG